ATCCATTTGTCTACCGGAAGAGGGGGCTGCAGGACTGTTTGCGCACAAGTAGCTAGCTTCCATTGGGTGTCCAACTATTAGTCTTCTTCTGATCAGTTTACCTTCGTTTGCTAAGAAATATCTTGGTAGTCGTTTGAGAGGGGCCGGATTAGACAAATCAATAGAACTTTGTGGTGAATTTTCAGGTACTGGGAAATACAGTAATCCTCACGAACAGAAGACTATCGCGAGGAAGGTTAGTTGACTCCTTAGCGAAACTGGAGACTATCCTGGAACTCAGCTGAATCTCTCGTGTCTGACGTTTTCAAGCAGCTGACCGCCTCATGTATCACTTGGTAAGATACATGTGATACATGTACAGACGTAGTGCACTACTCGTAAGGTCGCTGAAATCTCCTCAATAGCCCATGACCGGTTTCGTCCTTTTTAAAAAAACATCATAAACGAGAGATTCAGCTGTGTTCCAGGTGAGTCTCCCGTCGAAACTAAATTGGTATGCAAATGAGTGTATTTAGCTAATTTCGGGCGACTTAGGTTCAAGTAGAACATGAGGTTGACGGAAACTCGGGGACAGTACTTACCTAATGAGTCCCAAAAAGAGCGAAACCGGTCGTGAGCTGTCGAAGAATTTTCAGCAACCCAATGAGTAGTGCATCACTTGGGTCCTTCTTGAATGGCTGCATACTAAGTTGCCCTAGGATTTTGCCACCGCTTATCTGCTTACATATAATGAACTCCATGCACGTCAGCATATTACAAGCACTCAGCAGCACAATGGCTGACTTGTACTAAAGTCCAGGCTGGATCAGCTAAACTTTTAGTGACTTGGAAACATTCACATTGAAAAAATAATAAGAACCAAACGTATAAGTTTGCCGCTGTAATTTCCACCCTGTTTTGAAAAAAAAACAGTGAAGCCTTCCACAACGCACAGGCTCGATCAGCGGTATTTTTGACTGATCATTTGGGCTACTAGCTAAGAAGGCTATCTTGCCTAAATTTCACATCAATTTTGAAGTCTTTTCGAGTTTCATCGTAGTTTGATCTAACCTTCAACCTCCAAGAACTTGTTTCTAATGCGGGCAAAATTCCATTCCAACGGCTGGATTTACATTCTTAAACGAGCTATCCTCTAACAGTACAGTAAACAATGGAGCGTGTTTGCATTTTTTTGAGAAGATTTATTTCCAAAAAACGCGTTTACCCATAAAATAAAGCAGAACACCTGGAAGAGATTTTCTTGGTAGCTGTATGACCCATCAAAAACAGATGGAAGTAAGACGATCCACTAGCCGGGGAAACGGAGGACACAATAAATAGATCCTGAAGTTTTCAGTATTGACGACGACAACAGTGAGGGTGTTGGTGGAATGAAGCAGTTTTATGGGCTAGAGAAAGCAACGGCCCTAAATTTGGTTTTTTTCGGACGTTTTTTTTACCAAGATCAAAGACGCATCTGTGACCAGGTGGTGAAACGTGAGAATCCGGGAACAAATGTAAATTCGAGAACATCGTCGCAGACAAAAATGCGGCACAAATGTCAAAGTAATTTTTCCCGATCAAAATCACCGATCGCGACCAAGAACTGAGCAACACTTTACTCATTCCAGGTGAGTGTTCGGTCGTAAGTAGACATTCCTTGACATTGGTGACTACCTGTTTCAAGGTGATGCTAGGTATTGAGATTTAAGCACTGCTTCTATTTATCGGGTCACACCTTTGTAAACCTTGGTCAAAACTTACATCGCTTCACGCACTTAGTACAGACTGCATGCATGACCTGGATGTTATTGTGAACTTTGAAATGGCTGCTTTTAAACCGTGAGCTACTGGCTGAGAGATTCATGGCTCGAACTCCACCTGCGCTTCTCGATTGTCCCTGTCTATACATGAGCCAACATGCTCCCTTCGGGTTTCCTGCCAGTTACGTACAGAAACTTCGCAAATTTTGTTCGAATAGGCGCCGTTCAAGCACCGTTCTGTAGGAATGAAGCAGTTTGGAACAAAGTGCCACTTCCAAATAGCAGTCCATGAACGGAGATCACCCAAAGGAGCGGAACAAATTTCCGAATGAAAGACTGGATGCTTTTCAGAAATATAATCACCAAGGACAGTAAATTTATTTTACGACATTGAAAACCGTAAAGAGAAAGAAGTCTGACAGAAATTTTTCTTGGAAATTTTGAGGTCAAATAAGGCCTGATTCCGGTAAAATGTTAGCTCTTTCAAAATGCTCTAGTGCTAATTCGTCCCTAGCTACAATAGTGCAGCAAATTGCTGCCTCTAATCTTTTCTCCTGTCAGATGGACGTAGGATGTGTAAACGGTAACGAAGACATCACCCTAATCGGTACAGAACCACTGTACAGTTTACCCGAAGTCTTTACAGCTTCATACAGGTTTCCAAGCGCAGCCCTCAGTAAATAACTCTCGTAAAACCGACTCTACTCGATCGACGACAGCCATGGGAGCCAGAATGTTTTGGTATATCCAACTACCAAACGGTTAGACTCTTCACCGAGTTCGGTAATTAGATCGAAACTGTTTTATCACCAGTCCATGCACGGATTGCGATTGGTGACGAAGTACATTTGAGGCCCAACTGCCAAGGTCGGTGAGCAGACCAGTCACCCAACAGTAAACCCAAACTGCGGATATTCCTTCCCTGAATAAATAAGGACATCTGTAAGCTGTAAACTAATAAACCTACAATCGGATTGATCGCATGAAAATCCGGTACGTTGCTTTTAGCCCGAAGATGTAGTGCAGCCTATCCAACAGTTGAAATAGGCGTCAAATGATGCAGCGGAATTCGGTCACTTGTTTTGTCGAAGTGGAAGAGCGGTGATTTGTGAGTCACGTGAACAGAGCGGACATCGTAAAAGAAGGAGTTGCACATATGACTGACCGGTGTAATGAATAACAGTCAGTTCAGTATAAGTAAAAGAAAATCTCTCTCTGAATCTCTCGTTTATGATGTTTTTTAAGAAGAACGAAACCGGTCATGGGCTATTGAAGAGTTTTCAGCGACCTTATGAGTAGTGTATTATGTCTGTACATGTATCGCGATAATTCGAATATCTTACCAAGTGATACATGAGGTGGTCTGGTGTAGCACAGTCAGTTGTTTGAAAATTTCATACTCGAGAGATTCAGCTGGTTTCCAGAGAATCTCCCGCCAAAACCAAATTAGTATGCAAATGAGTGTATTTTGCTAGTCTTCATCCATCTTATGCATAAAGTGATTGATCGGAGAACAGGCGAAACGTTGAAGTTTGTGGTTTCCGAGATGGGTAACAACAAGCCCAATGATTTCACCGATAGTTTTCCAGAATAAGAAGACACCGTCCAAATTACTCTCCGATTTGAGAGTTGAGTGGTCGTCAGCTCGAAGAACTTTCGATTTCCTTCCATACAACTATGTCCTGACCATTTAGTGTGGTGGTTCATTCTTTGAAGGGAACACGCATGGGCTCGACCAAAACCATTTTGTCACGCAAAAAGGAGGTATTTTGTCTTACCGACTAGAAATTAGTTCAGGGCAATTGTTAAGGAAGGGAGAATACTCACTCTTTAGTCCTTCATCGATCTTTCTTCACTTGTTTCAAGCAGTCTCAGTTCAACAAAATAAAATGGGCGTGCATGGCGATAGTTCCCGTTGCTATGGTGAAGTCCCGGCAAGGTGGGTTATTTCACGTCTGTTGTTAACCTCTTCTGATACATAACCATTATTTACAAGCCAAACCAGCGGATTTGTACGGCTGCACAAAGCGTGGCACTTGAGGGATTTTTAAATGATATTTCCTTCTGTGAGTGATGCCAAACTATGCGGAAAGGCCGAGAAGCACTGTACGTTTTTTTATCCTTATTTGGTTTTCATCAGTAGTATGTGTCCCACAAAACGACAGAGAATTTCGAGCCCACTACCTTCCAGTTAGCGGTTGAACACTTAACCATTCGGCCATGAGCGGACGAACAGTGGTGTGATCAGCTCTCATTAAGACAGGATATAGCAGTACTCATTTTTCTTGGTATTTTTTAAATGAGATTTCGTCCAGTCGGTGAGTCCAATCTATAGTGAAAAGCCGTGAAGCATCTGAGAGGTTCCTAGATTCTGTTGCTGGTGTATAAAACCAAATGGACACCGTAAACGAATATTTCAGGCTGTCTGCTAGATACCACTCTCCCTCCATCCCCAAAAGAAACGAAACAGTTTTAAAGACATTTTTCAATTGGCATCGGTGTCCGAATGAGGTGAAGTTTGATATGATTCTGAAGGAAGGGGGTACAAATGCAGTTGGGATAAAATCCCCTTACTGGTCCCTAATGGATTCTTTGGACCCAGAAGTTACGTTCGTCCTGTTCACTCAATGTGCGTTGCACAGTGAAGGCGGTCATAGAACTATAAATTTTCGTCGAGTCTACCTGGTCAGTAAAACAATCGCGTTATTGTAGTCTAATCGGATGAAATTGGTCAAAAGTGGACAACCTGGAGGTAACTGAAAAGCAGTCCATAACAAGCTGCATTTTCAACATACTGATTCTTTCACAGAGAACTCATTTCTGCAAACGGGATTTGTTAGTCGAAAGACTGTGACCAAAAATCACACTCTCATGTAAAGGTATGCCTCTAAAGGGGATTTTGAACTCTTCCACCAGATTTTCGTTCTTAACTTGAATCCGTCTTGCTTGTGAAGATAGTATAGTATTTTCGCGTGTTCGAAAAAATCTGACCAAAGTGAAATAATACTTATGCTATGCCTGCGTTGCTCGATTCAATAGTAACCAGGTGTTCGTCGTCGTAGAAGCAGTTTTGGACGTCCTTTCAGTAAAATCATTCGTAATTTCAAAGGACTAGGTAGTGGTTATATCTGGAGAGAAGTTGGAGTGTCTCTGAAGAGTGGAAGATTTTGTCCGGTCCCACAAGGTTCATTGTTACGTCAGTACAGTAAATAAGCAATTAAAGCGATGAACGCAGAAACAGATCACGAGGACTTACCACAACTCAGAGAGAGTCATGAGAAAAAATGAGTAAGCTGGTTCTGAATCACGGGTCGCTTATTCCCTGAGTAGCCGTGGTCAGTACATTTTCACCGTTTTTGACCAAACCGTTCATCGGAAACTGCGGGTCCAAGTCTTGTGAGGCGGCATCAGTAAAACTCAATGTTCGCACACCGATAGGACCGAACTCCTCATCAATTCCCAGTTTGGTCTTGGTGCATCGATAATGCACGAAGAGGATACAGGTGGCGTGGCTGAGCACATTGACTGTGGTACGCAACCTATCGCTGTATTAACAGTATGAAAATATGCGAGAGAAGACATAAGTAAGCATACAGCGCGTGTGAAGACAACAAAAACGGTAGAATTGGTTTGATGACCAGAAATGTAGACTATAGGTAGTTATTGCAAACTTTTGAAACAACAATCAACGCACACTGATGGCGTTGAATACATTTAATATGGGTGAACTGATGCAATCAAAATCACTTGGTCTGGATCAAGGTACTTTTGTAAGACAGAAGAACAACATCGACAGACAAACGACCACCACTTTCGCCCGGTTCATGAGTAACAAGATGGACATCAATACGTTTCCAAGAACTGGATAGCATTCGAGTCGCGAGCAGTTGAATTTAGCTGAAGAGCGGTTTATACTTACAAATTCAAGAAAAGATAACAATGTGAAGTTTGGATTGCTTTAGTGGATATTTCGGTTGCTCCAGGGTCCTTAAAAAAATCTTAAAATCCATGCTGTATTCTTTTCTTACACTTTTTTCTATAGATTATCATTAAAAGGGCAGTAGTTATTTTGGCGCGCATAGTTCCAAGAAGGAACGCCGTTCGTTGTGACGGTAACACACGCGAGACGGGGCCTTCTGATGCATGTCCGAAGGGTGGACGCACAATGGTGAAACTCGCGTTTGCTCGCTCACATCCTCCAATGGATAGACGGATTTGAGAGGTATCAACAATTGGAGATTTCAACTCGCCTAGTTAACATCACGTGTAGTGAAATACCACACGGACGTAAACAAGAAAACATTCATTCGTTCATTCGTCTTCAACACATAACTGTCACATTCCATGCATAACAATTTTTGCACAGATCGTTTATCGTCCATTTGGAAGAAACTTGTGCAGCAGCTGTCACCTTGAAGCCGTAACTGTATGAAGCCCTTGGATTTGAGATGGATTTTAAACCTCCTGCTTGCAGATAGATGGCTGATGTTGTTCTACACATGTGGAAAAGTGCGAGTGTGAGCTCTCGAAGCAATCCACCTTTCAAGATACGGGGGGGGGGGGCTCAGCTGACTCTCCTTGAATATACTTGGCGATACTGAAAGCTATGCTGATTACTCAATGACGGTAGCTGTCATTTGCTTTCCAGATTGTCTAACTGAGTGTTAGACACGAAGGCACCTCGAAAGTCTGTGATAGATTAGCACTCGAGTACTCTCTCCTGCTCTCCATTATGGCATTACTTAAGTAAACTGACATGGTTGCAGAACTTTATATATAATATAATATATTATTGGCAGTAAAAACCTACAGTGAAACCATACGTCAAAGTAATAACCGGTGTATATTGCTTCCAGCTGATTGTTTCTTGAATGGAAACCTGTACGCTGAGCCGGACAAGAATCGAGGTAACATCATCAATGGGTTGCGTATCGAAATGTGGACATATTTCGTACGTTTGTAAACAAATTCTCCAGCTTTGGAAAGCAACGATCATCTGTGCAATTTGACATACACACAACCTCTTTGATAGATACAGGGAAAAACAAATCCACACGAATGGAAGTCGAACCCACGAGCTCTCGCCACAGTTTTGTTTACTGATGACAGAAAATACAAGCAACAGAGACTGATATGAACAGTTTATTGTGTTTCTTAAGTCACTAAGTTGTTACTTGGTTATCCACTTCGATGTTGGTTTGCAACTTCAAGAGCTGGAACCTTGAAGCAAAAGCGTCACTGACCGATGGACTGGGGGACATCCTTTCTTAAAGAAGACAACATGGTTTGCATTGAGGATGGTTGTCTTGCAAATCACCGGGGCACGTCCTGTCTTGACTGTACTGACGTTCATATTACCAACTTGGTTCGGTACCGAATGGCATTTCCGTCCACGACCATTAAGTTGCTCAACGCACAACCGTGGTGAAGCGGGTTTTCGATTCGCTGGTTTATTGCGGTCAAGTGGAGCGATAGGGTACACTCGAGAACGTTGCCATAGCACCCTCCACCAATGAGATGCTACCATATGAGAGCCGCACTCAGTACCGGGACTTCTATCACTAACACCCAACATAATCCAGGCACTGGGTCTCCGATGTGTTGCTGATGTCGGACTGCTAAAACGGGTTCGCAACGATGTCATTAGAAAAAAGCGAGTTTGGTTGTGCAGTGGGCAATTCGGTCACGGAAAGCATCCAACAAAATCAGCTGCGGTGGTCATGTACGTCCTCATGCTCAGTCTGTGGAAAAATCCTTGTTGTTCAGTTGATGTTTTGGGTTTTTACTAGATTATTCCGTGAGGTAGATTTTGGTGTTGGTCCTGTGTGCACTGTCAGAAGGCCACCAGTAATTAGACAACCTCGCCAGTAAATTTAGTTTGTCTTTTAACTGTGTTGTACGGGCACAAATGTGGTTCTTCTTGACCTGCAACTGAGTGCCTGAAACATTGCCATGGGTTCATCAAAGCTGCACCAAACACACCTTCAGTGTACAGCTGACACAAGTTCGAGTAATTAGGTGCCCCCAAATCAACTAAGCCGGGTAATTTTGAACCACAGAGCCTGTTGAAATGCTGTTTTTTCGTAGAACAGAATCATCAGCCGTAATCACTGTGTCACCATACAGCACTGACCCTCACCTGGGCGAGATGGCTCAAGTCGTCAGAGCGCGAATTTACTGGCCAGAAGGTCCGTGGTTCGAACCCGACCACTGCCTCCCGACTTCCCCTGTCTAGGCTTGGGCAACCTGGTGGCATTCCAGCCCTCATGCTTCCTTCGGGTGGCATGGCAGTTAGGCGCCGGAAGGGTGTTATAGCTAAACGATTATCTTTATTATTGTTCCCCATGCCTCCTTTGGGACGGCGCAAACTGCGAGTTTGACAACATGACACTTGGCGGAAAAGCGTGTGAGAGATCACGAAGTCTGGGTGTTGTTGGTGTGGAACGCCTTTCAAAATAGGGTCCTGGTGACCACTCCCGTTTCACTTGATAAAGACATTGCAAAAAATGGTGTTTTATCAACGTCAGTCACGTCTATGATGTCAGTTTCTCTCCGGCTTGTCTGATTGAGCACCTAGAAGTGTACATACATTCGAATTCCTGTGATAAGCTAGCACCAGTTCCCCCTTATCCATTCATTTGTCGTTTCACTTTAAGACTTAAAATATAATTGAAGAGCTGCAATTGGAGCTGCAAGGCAGTCAAGCATCGGTGTCAAGGTTGATGTTGCTGTATTCGCTGATGACTACGATATTATATGAAGAGAACACAGTAAGTCGGCAGCATATAGAGATCTCAAACCTAACTGGGCGATGTAGGTGCAGAACAAACGAGTAATTCCCATGGGTCATCCCAGCTGTTTGACGATCGTTGAATCCGAAAACAGACAGTGTATGATGAATACCCAGTGACGGCGTTCTTTACAATTTAAAACGTAGGATATCCAGCACGGAGAAAGTGTGCATCAAAGGTTTCTTACTTCTAACCCCATTTCATGTCGAATTCCAAATCTTACTGTCATCATCATGGACAGTACGACATAACATAAGACAGCAGTCAAGAGTATGAAGTAATTTTCGTGAAGTTGAAAATCGATAGGCTGGGCTTCAAACACAGAGGCCTAATCCTGAGATTTAGGTTAGTCTGTCTACTGCAATGCGTCCTATTCGGACGTCAGTTAGTCCTGGTTTATACAGCTGAGACATTCGAGAACCAGCCAGACCGAATCACAGAACTGACTAAACAGAATAAGTGTTAAATACAGAGTGGAAAGAAACTCACACAATAAACTCCACCACGAAAAGAAGAGAGATGGCCGATTCGGGAATACCAAAGACCCGAACGATGAGGAACACGGTGATGAGGCTCGCACTCGGCACTGCAGGAAGGGCCATTACGTTGAGTCCAGCGAGAAACCTAATGGGGAATGTCAAGTATTCTGTGAGATTCGTCCATCATTCATCGGCGCGCTTAAAAACTTAGACAAGATAGTCTGTGTTCATGAGTGGGGTGACATTAAATCATAGTTGCACGTTAATCCATCAGGAGAGAGCGGTGCACGTGAAGACGCGGTGATACCGATTGGAGAGGAACTGGCTGTGCTAAATCCAAAAATGCCGATGGTAAGGGTATAACCATATGCTAACGCAAGTTTGACAAGTATATTCGCCTTATTTAGTACAAAAAAACTTGCGTCCATTACTCCCGCTGCAATTCAAACACGTAATTCACCAAATTAGGCTCATTCATAACCAAGATACTGGCTCCTTCTGTGGATGAAAAGAACTCGGTCGCTTGTCTCAGAGTTGATTTCGACTGGGAAGTGAAGAGAGGGATTAGAAAAATACAGAGATCGTTATGGTAGGGCACACTTGTAAACCCACCAACACATGGGCTGTAAGATGGCAGCTCATGCTGAACGGAAAGAATGCTAAACAGACACTAATTTATCGTGTTCGTTCAAAGAGATATTACAGAGTGTTTATCACTCCGCCTTAAAACTCGGCCAACCTGGTAATCTAATCACTCAGCTTGAACGGGCATTTGTGTTGCCGAACAACAAATCCACCGTTTTTAAACCAACCTTTCGAAATGACAAATTTTCGATCGGTTACAAAATCTGCCTCATCGAAAACAAGCTTCTCTGTTTCATGGTATCCGAATCATCTTGCGGAATGGCTGAACAGCGTCCGGTAAGGAAAAGGTTCAGGCCGAAAAATTTTCACGGATGCTAATCGCTGTGGCATTTACGCGGAGGGAACGCAACTGCGAGAGGTTGACCAGTGAGAAGGAGTCAGAGATTCTTATCAATCGACGAATCAGATAGCCTGGAGCGTTCAGCCTGCATATGATCATGGGATGGGTGTAATACTCTTTGATAGCCCGCAACCGATTCGGTCCCTTTCTGGGGCTCAGGTGCAGTTACCGAGTTTCTGTCAGCCTTATGTTCTACTTTGACCAAATCGTGCGGAATCCGCCAGATACTCCCATCTTTTCACTAACTTAATTTTGATGGAAGACACAAGTGAATCAAGCTGAATCTACCACTTCTGGCACTGTTTGTCAACCCTATGATTGGTGAGTTATATTTGGACAACGCACTGAATTTTTCGAACATCGTACCAACTGGAACATGAGGCGGCCTTGTGCAGCACAGTCACCTGAAGACCATCATAGACGACAGATTCAGTTGGATTCGGTTGAGTCCCCCTTCAAAACGAAATCAGTATGCAAATGAGTGTTTGGTGAGAGCCATTGTACTATTGACCACTGTCTGAAGCTCAGAGCGCTTGTGATTAGCGCCTCGCCTTTTAATTTTATCACATCCAAACTCGTTCGCTGCCTTTGTAAACAGGAGTATGGTTCTCCGTTTTACAAAACAACCTCATCCGGTAACGGACTTTGATTCATTTTGTTGTTTGGTTTGTTAACCCGGTGGAAACTGATGCGTACGATATCAGCATCGCGTGAACAAGATTACGTCGAAAAGAACAGTTTGCGCCATTACACATGCTAGTTTGATCGATCAGTTGAGGTGACTGAAAGAATGAAATAAGATCCACTGCTGCCCAATCAGTCGATCATTTCTCTGTTCGGCGTGTTGACTTCAACTGCAGACGTGACTTTATTGTGTCCGATAAAGAAGCCATCACATTCAGGAGCCATTTAGAGTTCTGTGGTCCTTGCCGAAAGCTATTCGAATGGTCATAGCTCGTAAGGAAGTGTTTGAGCAGCACACTAGAAATGGTGACTCAACGAGCAAATTCAACACTAAAATTGATCAAAAGTCTCAGGCGATCAGTCATATCACTTTACAATGGTTTCAGAGGGTGAGGGAGATTCATGGTGATACCCTCTCATAGAGAGTCGAGGGGCAAACCTGATGATATCAGGCAGCTTTGACAAAAAAGTATATTTGATGCTGACAAGACCATGTTGCACTTTCTCTGCCCCACAAGACGTTGAAGAGAGAGCATGGGAAACCAGTTAGAACAAAGTACTGTGTTATCCTGCGGAAGTACGAAAGGCAGGAAAATGGCAACTCTTGTAACAGGAGGATGTAAATCCCCAAGGGTTTTCAAGGGCATCGACTTGCCACATCTCAGTGTGTACAAGCATTCACAATGTGCTTGAATGCCAAGACGGATAGGCGTATTCGTTGACAATGCTCCTTCCAATGTACGGTTAATACAATTACCTGTAAATTCTAACTTCCGTAGTCTGACCGATAGATCAAGTTGTAGTCTGGTCGTTCAAATGTAACTTTCGACAAAATTTGTTGAACTTTGTGATCGAGCATGTAGAAGGTAAGGTTGATAAGGATCCTTTGCGTCACATGGACTGTCCTATGGGCAACCTGCTTTTTAAGGTACGACATATGACAAGGTACATTTATCATTTTCTCCGCCCTGGTGTATAAATAAATGAACAATTGGTCAGCCGCAGGACTCTTTTGGTGCATAGCTTCTGTGTAACTAGAAGGAAGTACGAGGGCTAACATACTTCCAGCTTGCACAATCGTAAACAGCAACAGTCGTAAAGCCTGGCTTGGGTTTGAGCTACTGGTAGTAGATTTTCTCCCAAACTGCTGCGCCATCTTGAATCTTCCACTTGGTTAAACTGACAAACCTCTCTCTGTAAGCGCACCCATTGATGGTGGTGGCTGAGGTTGATCTTTATGCCAATGGCCAGTACAATCTATGCGTCGGTTAGCTGAGACGTTCGACCTTTGAAATCCGTGACCAACTCAGTTTGCTCACTTTTGGTGCATACAATGGAGCACTTACGCTGGAACCACTGCAATGGACCCAAAATGCTGACACCTTGGACTAACGTGCAATTGTTAAATAGTTTGAAAATCTTGATTTTCTGAGGTACATAAAACTGTTAGTCACCGAGGCCGCTCATTAGAAGTGTGCGTGCCGACGGCAGTGGGGTGTCGGAAATTATTACCGCTTTTATCTTTTTGTACAATTCTACACTCGATTGTGATGTTGCTGGGTAGAGAAAGAACTGCAAATAGCCAAAATTTGGATCCGACACACCAGATCATTTAGACTTTCGTAAAACACCCACCCAATAGCAATCAGCTGACCGACGTTGAACGAATAACCGACAAACTGCGCTGCACAACAGGCAGCTGCAGCGATAAACGCCGCGGATCCGTTGGCATTGAAACTCGTCAGGAACGGCGCGATGGTACGTACAACTTGAGGGTTAACACCAAGACGATCACAAGCCTTGAAGAGGTCTGGTAAAGCAATCAACCTGAGAATAAAATGGAAAGAGAGAAATGTACCCGAAGACGCAGATGGATAGTGGTGATAAAAACCCAGCCCCAGTAACATTTTGATCCGACTCTCCGCTCAGTGTTCATATATGCTTTTGTTATTCTCAAGGAAAATTAGAACAAAAATGCAAAATATGTTCTAGAGAGAAACAGGTCAAATGAGCGGCAGTGATGAAATCTTAGGGATGGGAACCACATTATATTTTGGCATGCACCTTGGGGAACACAGAAAACGGGTCGTGAGTAGTAGGGGTGTTATCCGAGAGTGAGCGGCTCTATGTAGCGGAACATGTCGACTGTCGCAAGCCGGCTATGGACAAACGAAAGTCAGGACGTGAGCAAATCAGAATCGGCGCTTTTCACTCCATCACGAAGACCCCAACTCGACCTTGTGGATAATCCAACAACTACAGTCGTAACATATAGTCTTCTTCTCTAATGAGGGCTACCTCAAGTTGCCGCGCTTTCTTTTGTACCGTACTGGGTGGAACAACACTCCAAGGACCGGCAAATAAGTTGTAGGTAGCTCAAAAGTTGTTTTAGTTGCTCTACCATGGTCAGTCTGGTCGCACGACTGATCTATGGAGAATCAGTGTCGGTCATTCAGTTTGTAAACAAACACGGAATGTATCTCAAACAAGTGGCGAGGATGTGATGGCACGAATAGCCACTCCCAAGCATCGGCCCCAAACGTGCACCACTTGAGCACCAGACACATTCGAGTTGCATGATCCCTGTACAACAGTTTTTGCAGACGCAAAACACAGAACCAATGAAGCGAGGCTCACACCAGCTCTTACTTGGGAATCGAAGCCGTACGTTACTTGGTAAGTTGCGGAAGGGAACAACCTCCTTATGGTATGCCTGGGTGGCGTCAATGAATAGCCTCCTGAGGCGAACAAAGGGGGTGTTGGATAGAAGCGTCAGGACCAATAGGATGAAAACGGTTCTGTGACAGATGCCTGGCTACCTAAAACAAGTAACCCCTCAAAGAGGAAGTCAATGCCGGCGAGACTGGAATTCTTCCAAATGAAATGTCTGCCTGGGGCACCGCACGGCCGTCATCCATAGCTCTCTTTTGACTAGGTTTGCAGGATCATTCCCATTTTTATTAAGACAGAAGACTGATACATTGCGCGCATAAATCTAATCGTACTGCTAAAGCGCTTACCGGCATCAATGACCGTGGAGTAGGCTGGGGATCTCGGTTGCTTTCGTACGATTCACAATGGCTCATTGATGGTTCACTCCACTGCTGTGCAGGGCAGTTTCTTCAGTTAAAGTCTATGGACGCTCTGAGGGAAAAATTCATCATCAGGACTGAACACTAAGCAAACACAAGTACACATGCCGATAATTATACTTCACACATAGTGCCCATCAGTCCCATTTTCAATGAATGACTACAATGCAGTCCAGACTTATCTGTTTGTTTCCCATATTTTACAATGGTCTTACACTGATGTAGCTTCTTAGGGTGTCGCAACGACGAATCTTGTTTTACGGACGTAATACACTACTTATAAGGTTGCTCAAAATTCTCCGACTGCCCACGACCGCCTTCACTCTTCTAGGGGCTCATTAGATTGACAAAACCTCGGGGACCGCTCCCACCTGATGAGCTCAAAGAAGGGCGAAACCGGTCGTGAGCTGTCCAAGAATTTTCAGCAGCCTTATAAGTAGTGTGTTACGTCTATAGAGGAATATATAGAAGAATATTCGGTAAAATACTTTTGGCTCACTTTTGACCCAGTGTATTACGTCGACACATGTATCGCGATATCCCGGATATCGCATCAACTGAGGCGGCCTGTTGCAGCACATTCATGAATGGGGGGTAGCTGGATTATAGATGAATCTCGCAAAACTAAATTTGTTCACAAAGGAATGCACTTCAACCCTCATTTTAGTTATCTAACAAGGACATGTTGAGCACACTGTTCCTGGAAGATTTGACGTTTGCTCAGCCCCGCAGATGCACACGCACACGCCCATCATATTCAGTGCTGTGCATCTTTGAGTGACCATAATGATGCAGATGTATCATCGCCCCCAGAGAGAACAGATTAACTGTTCCCAAAACGCTTGCTACACTCATTGTGGACGCCTTAAGAAACTGATTATTTGGGTTATACCATCCCTAATAACTGCATTAGACTGTCTGATTTCACAAGTCGATATCTGAGGCACTGTGTTAGAGACTGCATGCGTAACACACTGGTTCTTCTGGGATGGGGGAAACTTACTGGCTGTGATGTGATTATCACTACATACGAAATACATGGCATCAAATCATTCCGTGTCTGTTACCAGGGCTGCAAAAGCAAATCACCACGACAGACGAAAATCTTTTATTTCCCCAAATGTCATTTTCTAGGGTAGATTGGTGTTCACCATCTCCGGGAATTTCACAGACAAGAATGTCTGAAAAAACGGACACATATGCGTGCCCTAGTTCCAGGTATGGTCAACGTGGAGTATTTGAATCCATGCGAATAGAGTAAGCTAACGCGTAACTGACGTGCAGTGAATGCTGTTTTGAGCTTACCATGGATTTGGTCACTCTTCCTCTGTTGGTGCGGTGAGTAGAAAGAAAAAGCTATCAAACCTGGCCGTCTCTAGCTGAATAAAAAACACTGGCCTGACATAGGGCTATTCTACGGGTCCAACATTAACCGTAAGACAGACAGTTTGGGGAAAAAGTGTTCTCACAGCTCAGTGACAGATAGAACCATCAGATTTGATGACAAGTACGACACATCCGTTGAGATAAGTTTAGGAAAGATACCACTATCAGGTTGATGTTCATTTCTGACCTGTGTGCACCCGAAATGAACGCAAAAGGCAGGGATAAGAAGAATGAAAGACTCACGAGCTGGTCAAGCTGAATGCGGTCAGTAGCGGAGCCGAGATGGCGGCATAGACTCGAAAAATATTCCTTCGGACACATACAAGGAAAAACAGCGGCAACACGATGAAAGCCAAGATTGCCATACAGGCGGCGGAGCTGGCGACGAACAGAGCCAACGCAAGGAGGCTGTGTTCCAAACTGCTAATTCTAGCCACTGCAGAGGCGATTAGGCTTATCATTGCGATAGGAAGGAGCCTGAAAGTAGTTGAAAAATGGTGAGAAGGAGACTCAAAACTTAGATTAACGCAAATAAGGGGGACGGGTACAGGAAGTCAAAACAAACTTGGAAGTGGTGAAAAACAGCATGCAAGGAACGGTAGATATATCCAAGATTATATGGTTATGAAAGTCCACCACGGGCAAGTAAGCGCAACCAATCTACCTTGTGAAGCCATTCAAAGTTTGATAGGTGCAAACACGAAAGGATGCCTTAACTACTGGATAAATAACCAAAGTTAGCTAAGAAAACTTGACTTCTATGGACTTGCTCAGCGGAGACTTGGGCCAGTACCTCAGTAGAAACCAATCGGCTCATTGTCTAACAACATTTTGAACCACCTCCGCTTCATTGGCACACATACGGTAGACCCGAAAATCCGACCGCTTTAGTCAACGCATGGAATAGCCGCAAAAACGAATCCAGTCCATTCTTCATACACACCAGTAAAACAAAGACTTCCCGATGACCCTTGAAATTCCATAGGATTT